AAAAAAAAAAAAAAAAAAAAAAAAAAAAAAAAAAGATGAAAAATAAAGAAAGAGATGAAGGAAAGAAGGAAATAAGCAAGGAAGAAAGAGGGCAAAAAAATAAAAGGAAGAATGAAAAGGAAAAAGAAGAATATAAAAGAGGATGGAGCATGGTGACTCAAACCTGTAATCTCACCCTTTTGGGAAGCTGAAAATGGAAGAATTGCTTGAGCACAGGAATTTGACATCAGCCCTGGGGACATAGCAAGGCCTGGTCTCTACCACAAGAAATAAAAAATTCAGCCAGGCATGATGGCATGCTCATGAAATAAAAAGGAAAATGGGCAAGAGGAAAGGAGGAAAGGAGAGAAGAAAGGTAGGACGGAAGAAAAAAACCAAGTTCTTATTTTTATTTATTTTTTATTTTTTTTGAGACAGAGTCTTGCTCTGTTGCCAGGAGCCAGGCTGGAGGGCAGTGGCACAATCTCAGCTCACTGCAATCTCCACCTCCTGGGTTCAAGCACTTCTCCTGCCTCAGCCTCCTGAGTAGCTGAGACTACAGGCGCACGCCACCACGCCCAGGTAATTTTTGTATTTTTAGTAGAGACGAGGTTTCACCATGTTGGCCAGGATGGTCTCGATTTCCTGACCTTGTACTCTGCCCGCCTCAGCCTCCCAAAGTGCTGGGATTACAGGCGTGAGCCACCATGCCCGGCTGAAACCAAGTTCTGAAAGGAAAAAATAAATTAAAAAGAAACAGAAAGAAAAAAGGAGAAAGAAATACAAAAAAAAAAAAAAAAAAAGGAAGAGAAACACAGAAGGAAAGACACACACAGAAAGAGACAGAAAGGGAGAAAAAAATGAGGAAAATAGGAAAGGAGGCCAGGTGCAGCGGCTCATGCCTGTAATTCCAGCACTTTGGGAGCCTGAGGCAGGAGGATCACGTGAGGTCAGGAGTTCGAGACCAGCCTGGCCAACATAGCAAAACTCCATCTCTACTAAAAAAATATAAAGAATTAGCTGGGCCAGGCGCGGTGGCTCAAGCCTGTAATCCCAGCACTTTGGGAGGCCGAGGCGGGTGGATCACGAGGTCAAGAGATCGAAACCATCCTGGTCAACATGGTGAAACCCCGTCTCTACTAAAAATACAAAAAATTAGCTGGGCATGGTGGCGCGTGCCTGTAATCCCAGCTACTCAGGAGGCTGAGGCAGGAGAATTGCCTGAACCCAGGAGGCGGAGGTTGCGGTGAGCCGAGATCGCGCCACTGCACTCCGGCCTGGGTAACAAGAGCGAAACTCCGTCAAAAAAAAAAAAAAAAAAAAAGAATTAGCTGGGTATGGTGATGCACAGCTGTAATTCCAGTTACTCAGGAGGCTGAGGCACGAGAATCACTTAAACTCAGGATTCAGAGGTTCCAGTGAGCCCAGATTGCGCCACTGTACTCCAGCCTGGGCAACAGAGCAAGACTTTGTCTCAAAAAAAAGGAGAGGCAGAGAAGAAATTAGCTCTGGGCAGAGCCTTCAGGAGCCCACGCCAGCTATTTGCCCACCTACTGTGCAATCGCCTTAGATGTTCAGAAGCTGCTGTGCTTCTGAACTGAAGAGCTATGAGATATGCAAAATACTTGCTGTTTGCATTGTGACTCTTATACAAAGTACACGGTTTCATTGTTCTGAATCCTGTGGTTTCTTTGAGCCCACTTTTATTATTATTGTTATTATTATTATTATTATTTTTTTTTTTTGAGACGGAGTTTCGCTCATGTTACCCAGGCTGGAGCGCAATGGCACGATCTCGGCTCACCGCAACCTCCGCCTCCTGGGTTCAGGCAATTCTCCTGCCTCAGCCTCCTGAGTAGCTGGGATTACAAGCACGCGCCACCATGCCCAGCTAATTTTTTGTATTTTCAGTAGAGACGGGGTTTCACCATGTTGACCAGGATGGTCTCGATCTCTTGACCTCGTGATCCACCCGCCTCGGCCTCCCAAAGTGCTGGGATTACAGGCTTGAGCCACCGCGCCCGGCCGTATTATTATTTTTTTTTTTTAAAGTGGGGTTTCACCATGATACCCAGGCTGGTCTTGAACTCCTGACCTCAGTGATCCACCCACCTCAGCCTCCCAAAGTGCTAGGATTACAGGCGTAAGCCACAGCGCCCGGCCTGAGCCCACTTTTATCACCTTAACCTAGTTAATGTACATTTTGAATTGTGTGCACGGCCTCAGAACTGAAGTTGATAATGAAATCTCAAGTTTTGATAGCCCGTGAAGTGCATAAATATCTAATTTCACCTGAATTGATTTGAAGGAAAATTACCAGAATGCCTTGGTCTGATTATTTGATAGAGTTAATTGTTGTACATAAAACAGATCTGCATATATATATTATAATGAAATAATGGAAGACAAAAAAAATCTGGCTTCTTGACTTTTGGACCTCTCAGTCAGGTCACCTACTTCCTTCACTCTCACTTACCTGGCTGTGCAGCTACGGTCTCCTCACTTGTCACAGTCCAGGGCTCTTTCCTTCCCTCCAAAAAGGTCACCAGGTCCAGCTTAGATACAGTGAGACCTGTTCTTTGGTTTTGGAGATAGAGTGTTGCTCTAGCACTCAAGCTGGTGTGCAGTGGTGCTATCTTGGCTCACTGCTGCAACCTTCACCTCCCAGGTTCGAGCAATTCTCATGCCTCAGCCTCTTGAGTAGCTGGGACTACAGGTGCCCGCCACCACGCCTGGCTAATTTTTTGTATTTTAGTAGAGATGGGGTTTCACCATGTTGGCCAGGATGGTCTCAATCTCTTAACCTCATGACCTGCCTACCTTGGCCTCCCAAAGTGCCTCTGCCTCCTAAAGTGATGGGATTACAGGCATGAGCCACAGTGCCCAGCCTGTTTTTTTTTGAATGAAGTCTTGCTCTGTTGCCCAGGCTGGAATACAGTGACACATTCTCGGCTCACTGCAACCTCTGCCTCCCGGGTTCAAGCAATTCTCCTGCCTCAGCCTCCTGAATAGCTGGGATTACAGGCAAATGCCACAATACCTCGCTAATTTTTTGTATTTTTAGTAGAGATGGGATTTCACCATGTTGGCTGAAAATAATTTTTTACTCTGGGGCCAGGCGTGGTGGCTTATGCCTGTAGTCCCAGCTACTTGGGAGGCTGAGGTGGGAGAATTGTTTGAACCTGGGAGGCGGAGGTTGCGGTGAGCTGAGATTGTACCACTGCACTCTAGCCTAGGTGACAGAGTAAGATTCTGTCTTGGGCCGGGTTGCGGGAGGTATACTTTGCAGAAGCAGCATTAACACAAAAAGTTCTATTAAACCCTGATCAACACTCAAATGTCACCATCTCTGTAAAGCCCTCCTTGATTTTCCCATTGCTATGGCAGTGGCACAACTGATCACTATAACCATTCAGGCCCTCAATATAAGTATTTTTTTTTTTTTTTGAGACGGAGTTTCGCTCTTGTTACCCAGGCTGGAGTGCAATGGCGCGATCTCGGCTCACCGCAACCTCCGCCTCCTGGGTTCAGGCAATTCTCCTGCCTCGGCCTCCTGAGTCGCTGGGATTACAGGCACGCGCCACCATGCCCAGCTAATTTTTTGTATTTTTAGTAGAGACGGGGTTTCACCATGTTGACCAGGATGGTGTCGATCTCTTGACCTCGTGATTCACCCGCCTCGGCCTCCCAAAGTGCTGGGATTACAGGCTTGAGCCACCGCGCCCGGCCTGATATAAGTCTTTTTATGTACAAGTGTTATTCTCTAGAAGAAATTAATCATTTAGCCACACTTATGAACTACAAACTCCTACAGGGCAGGTATGTTGAACCATGTTCATCTGTGTAATCCAAATGTCTGATACATAATAGATGTCATACACACATAAAATTAAAATGCTGCCAGGGAATTATTGGGAAAACTACAAATTCTTTTTTTTTTTAACATAACCAGGAAATTTCCACCTGAACTACACAAATAAGGCGACTACATAACTGTAACCAATTCGTGAATTTCGTTTGCCTTCTCACTTGCCCTTTATAAAACCTTTCCTTTATGCCTCTCAGGCGGGCCATATCCTATGGCTGGGTGCTTTCCATTTCACCAATCACTGCTCAGATAAACTGGTTAACGTTTTAACATTGACTTCCTTTAATTTTTAAGAGAAGAGGCTGGGCGCGATGGCTCAGGCTTATAATCGCACTTTGGGAGGCCGAGGCAGGTGGATCACGTAAGGACAGGAATTTCAGACCACTTTCCACCATGGCGAAACCACTTCTCTACTAGAATACAAAAATTAGCCAGGCGTGGTGGTGCAGGCTCTAATCCCAGATTCTCAGGGGGCTGAGGCACGAGAATCGCTTGAGCCTGAGAGAAGGAGGTTGCAGTGATCAAGCCACTGCACTCCAGCCTGGGCGAAGAGCAAGACTCCGTCTAAAACAAAATGCTTAACAAAAGAGATTGGGCGCCCCACCTGCCGCAGTTCCTCCCACGCAAACACCGGGTCGGGATTCTGCCCTGAAGATTCGCCTGGCATCCCTGAGCAATGTGGAAAATACTCGGGGCTGCGGGTGCAGAGCTGCCCAGGGAGCTCCAGACCCGGCGCCGCTGGGACCCGGCAGGACTCGGGGATATTGGCGGCGGACCCAGCCGCCATCTTGCGGCCAGAGGGGCCTGGGCGAAGCTGAGCCAGCGGGGATCAGGTCCGCGACCCGGGAGCCGACTGTGGGGAGGCCGGTCCTCTTGGTTTCACAGCCTGCTCTCCCCTCTCGGGATGTCTAACCCCGCACACTCACCCTTTCCAAGTTTCCAGGATGTCCTGGCATCTGAGGTGTGCGTCTCCCAGGACCTGCAGATCACACAGCAAGAGAGGCTGTGACAGAGTCACGGGGGGCGGGGGTGGATCTCAAGGTGTAGGACGCAGAACCGCAGAGACAGATCCCAAGCTCTGCAGGGAGCAAGAGACAAAGACCCCGCCAAATGCCGGAAGCCACGCCCTCCTCTACAAATACGCGCCTGATTGGGCGGTTCCCGGACCAGCGCCACTGATTGGATAAAGCACCGGGACTCTCCCGGTGTCGCCCCCCTTCCCTCAGCATAAGTGTATTTTATGAACAGGAAAACGGGCTAAAGTAGTTAAAATAACCTTCACAAGGAATTACAGCTGATTAAGAAGTGAGCTGAGACTTGTAATGCACTTGCTCTTTCCTTACCTGGGTCTGCTTGCATAACGCATCTATTTGCTACTTAAGGATAAGAAAGAACATTTGGACTTTTTTTTTTTTTTTGAGACCGAGTTTCACTCTTACTGCCCAGGCTGGAGTGCAGAGTGCAATGGCGCGATCTCGGCTCACTGCAACCTCCGTCTCCCAGGTTCAAGCGATTCTCCTGCCTCAGCCTCCTGAGTAGCTGGCATTACAGTCGTACGCCGCCATGCTCGGCTAATTTTTTTTTTCTTTCATGTTTTTAGTAGAGACGGGTTTTCACCATGTTGGTCAGGCTGGTCTCGAGCGCCTCACCTTGTGATCTGTGCGCCTCAGCTTCCCCAAGTGCTGGGATTACAGGCCTGAGCCACTGCGCCTGGCCATTTGGACATTTTTTTTTTTTTTAGACAGAGTTTCACTCATGTTACCCAGGCTGGAGTGCAATGGCGCGATCTCGGCTCACCGCAACCTCCGCCTCCTGGGTTCAGGCAATTCTCCTGCCTCAGCCTCCTGAGTAGCTGGGACTACAGGCACGTGCCACCATGCCCAGCTAATTTTTTGTAGTTTTAGTAGAGACGGGGTTTCACCATGTTGACCAGGATGGTCTTGATCTCTTGACCTTGTGATCCACCCGCCTCGGCCTCCCAAAGTGCTGGGATTACAGGCTTGAGCCACCACGCCTGGCAGAGGAATTTCTTAATAATATCTAACAGTTTTCCCAATACCCATTATATTTAACATTGATCGCTTACAGGGCAGGAAGGAGACACACATGACACAACCTTAGATGTTTAATTTGGTCATAAGTTGTTTTGTTTTGTTTTGTTTTTGGAGACAAGGTCTCACTCTGATACCCAGGCTGGAGTGCAGTGGCACAACCATAGCTCATAATTTCATTGTAACAGTTCTTTAAAAAATATTTTTGGCTGGGTTTGATGGCTAACACCATCAATTGAAACAGTTTGGAAAGCTAGGGTGGAATGATTGCTTAAGTCCAGGAGTTCAAGACCAGTCTGGGCAATGTAGTGAGATTCAGTCTCTACAAAAATTTTAAAAATTGGCCTGGTGTGGTGTTGCATGCCTATAGTCCCAGCTGCTCGAGAGGCTGAGGTGGTGGAAGGATCACTGGAGATGGAGGCTGCCCATCATTTGGTCACTGCACTCCAGCCTGGGTGACAGAGTGAGACCTGTATGTGTGTATACACACTCACACATGCACACACACACACACACGCAAACATATATACACACAGACAGAGATATATACCCTATGTATATAATCAAAATAACATGTATGTTGGCCGGGATCGGTGGATCACGCCTGTAATCCCAGCATTTTGGGAGGCCTAGACAGGTGGATCACCTGAGGTCAGGAGTTCAAGGCCAGTCTGGCCAACATGGCAAAACTCTGCCTCTCCTAAACATACAAAAATTAGGGAGGCATGGTGGCACATCAACTACTCGGGAGGCTGAGGCAGAATTGCTTGAACCTGGGAGGTTGAGATTGCAGGAAACTGAGATCCTGCCGTTGCACTTCAGCCTGGGCAATAAGAGCAAGACTTTGTCTAAAAAAAAAAAAAAAAAAAGTGCCGGTGGTCCCAGCTACTCAGGAGGCTGAGGCAGGAGAATCGCTTGAACCCGAGAGGCAGAGGTTACAGTGAACTGAGATCACACCACTGCACACCAGTCTGGGCAACAGAGAGAGACTCCATCTAAAAAAAATGTATGTTGAAAGAAATTCAAGGCCGGGCGCGGTGGCTCACGCCTGTAATCCCAGCACTCTGGGAGGCCGAGAAGGGTGGATCAAGAGGTCAACAGATCGAGACCATCCTGGTCAACATGGTGAAACCCCGTCTCTACTAAAAATACAAAAAATTAGCTGGGCATGGTGGCGTGTGCCTGTAATCCCAGCTACTCAGGAGGTTGAGGCAGGAGAATTGCCTGAACCCAGGAGGCGGAGGTTGTAGTAAGCCGAGATCGCGCCATTGCACTCCAGCCTGGGTAACAAGAGCGAAACTCTGTCTCAAAAAAAAAAAAAAATAATAATAATAATAATTCAAGCACAGAAGAAAAGTGAAAGACTGTGGTGAGGAACGTGATAAAAGGTGAGTGTGGCTCCTACAGCTCAGTGAGACTTGGTTTTCCATCTTAAGTAACTGCCCTCCCACACTGAAACCACAACCCAGCACATGCCAATTCTCACACAGTTTTGTTTTTCTTTTTGAGCTGGGTCTCCTTCAGTCACCAGGCTGGAGTGCAGTGGCGGGATCTTGGCTCACTGCAACCTCCACAGCCCAGGTTCAAGTGATTCTCTTGACTCTGCCTCTTGAGTAGCTGGGACTACAGGCATGTGCCACCATGCCCTACCAA